TCACCAATACCGATGCGTGAAGTCTTGCCAAACTGCGAGGTGCTAGGGCTTAATTGTTAGCATACTGCAAATCAAAAATGCAATAGTTGCATTCAAAATAAATAAATTCTTTATACCGAAGAAATTTAAAATTTGCAGTTATATTTTGTGTGTATTTAGCAGTCTCCCCTCATATTTTCCTTCGGCATTCAACCGCATATTAGATCGCCCGAGCAGCGACGATTTCGATAGCATATGATGACCGTGTTTTGTGCAACTTTACAAGACAATATAATAAAGAACACGTCAGAAAAAGTAAAAAGTAAATTGTTGTAGTCGTGAATAAAAACTGGCAGCTGTAGCCAATACGGCTTGTCCTTTGCACAAACATAAATTATGCGAACAGAACATGAATTTTAACCTTCAAACAATTGAAAGATTGACCCGAGTATCTAACCACAATTTCTGGGCATTTTCCCTGACCAAATTTTGATTGAGACGATTGTCTTCAAATTGAAACCCACGCCATGAAACACTTTTTCTTTTACATTTATTAATTATTTTCTCCAGTGAGTACACCGTCTACTAAAATAAGATGCTAGCTGAGATTGGATGTAGCTTATACGAGATTTGAACGGGTATGTCCACTGTACCACGCATACCTGAGCACGTGTTTGCTAGTGTCATGGTGTCACGGGGTCAAAACACCGACGCAAGGTCGATAACGATCCTGCGACAAGAGGGAGAAATGACATCCCCTCAGGGCTACTCGTCACATATACCGGTGATATGCACTTGTAAAATATCACATAAATAAACCAAGGAAAACAACAATTCCAGAAATTAACAACATAGTATAACAGGACTAATTAGTGTGTGAGTAGGAGTGTTCGTTGCATGACGTTTCCGACGTGTGTCGAATTGTTTCAGTCTGTGCCGTCACCCTGGTTAATTTTGGGTAGCCAGCGACTGTTCACGAATTAAAGCATCGAACACGACCTTTACAACCAGGCTATATTACCAGTCGGTCTTCTGACTGTATACGCGGATCTGCCCGCCAGAGTTATAAGACCTATTTATATTGTGCAATATCTCAAGAACCACGCTGACTGAGTTTTAAATACCAGATACGGTTCATTGTTTTAATCATTAATTGGTCCCATCATGAGCACTACTATATAAATAAATATACAAATATGTGCGCGGCACTAACCTGTTTCTGGTGACAAAAACTTGCCCTTGACATTGATTCCAGGGATAAAACTCGTTTTACTAACAACCAAATAGTGAGATGTTCAGCCAGATACAGTTCATTGTTTTAATCATTAATTGGTCCCATCATGAACACTACTATAAATAAATATACAAATATGTGCGCGGCACTAACCTGTTTCTGGTGACAAAAACTTGCCCTTGACATTGATTCCAGGGATAAAACTCGTTTTACTAACAACCAAATAGTGAGATGTTCAGCCAGATACAGTTCATTGTTTTAATCATTAATTGGTCCCATCATGAACACTACTATAAATAAATATACAAATATGTGCGCGGCACTAACCTGTTTCTGGTGACAAAAACTTGCCCTTGACATTGATTCCAGGGATAAAACTCGTTTTACTAACAACCAAATAGTGAGATGTTCAGCCAGATACAGTTCATTGTTTTAATCATTAATTGGTCCCATCATGAGCACTACTATATAAATAAATATACAAATATGTGCGCGGCACTAACCTGTTTCTGGTGACAAAAACTTGCCCTTGACATTGATTCCAGGGATACAACTCGTTTTACTAACAACCAAATAGTGAGATGTTCAGCCGCCTAACCTTGAGTCTTTCCTTACCCATAAAGCTGATTTAAAAGCCAAACACGCCAGTATCAGTAGCAACAAATCACTTGGTCATATTGTGACAGATTATTTGACGAGTTACGGACATCGAGTTACGAAAACATCGAGTTAGAATAATGGCCACGCCCATATTTTAAATTTTTTTTTGGTTTGCTTAACTTCTTATGTTGCCCGTAACTCGGAGTTCAGTCATCTGGTAAACAATTCGAGTTACTGAATTTGAACATTACACAATACATCAACTTGAAATCTACTAGTATGTAGCCTGTAACTCCAATGTCGGTTAACTGTTAAAACTGCCTTTTACTACCATTAAAACAATTAATATTATTCACTGTGAATCGATCTTTGTGGAGACACTCGTTAATAACAAAAAAAAACTAATTGTAGGAGTCTTTCTACGAGGTGAGAATACAGCCAAAATTAGCTTGGTGTCATTATTTGAACATTGTTTAGTTGTTTGGTCTTTATTTGGAAACTTGTTTGGTTATTATTTGGTAATTTTTCGGTTATTTGGTCTTTATTTAAACATTATTTTGCGCTTATTCCATTATTGTGTTATTACTGCAGCATCGTATTGCTATTATTTCATTATTTCATTTTTATTTCTTAATTATTTCATTATTGTGTAATTGCTACAATATTATTTTGTAATTGTTTCAACTGTGTCGTTATTTAGACATTATCTTGACATTCAATTATCATAATATTCGATTATTTTCACGTCTAAATGTCTTTACATTCGGTTCGCTTGACTTGCGATTACCTCAACATTCGATTACCTGACCTACATTAGCTGACCCCGCTATACATGTAGTATTCAGTTCATAGTCCCGGGCCGCATCCGATAAAGCATTGCTCATGATGGCAATGCAGTCTTTCTAAAAGTTAGCGGGAATTTCTAAATGATGACTGTTTAACCAACGTCCAGGGAACTGACTGAGGTCGTCAGAGCCTGTCGTGACGAAATATCAAATGCCGCAAAACTTGTTGTTGACACGACGCGCTCCTAACGAAATTCGCAAGGGAAGATCCGATTTGATCATCAGACG